AGGCATTACAAGTAGTGGTCGTAGGGGCATCAGGCACGGATGCGCCAGGTGCAGCGTCGAAGAGGTCAGATAATGGATCGAAAGGATTTCCAGAGGTTGTGGGGCCACTAGCTGAGATATTGCTCCAGAAGTTTGAAACCCAGTCATCCATGAGTATATTGGAGGTGGTATCTTTGAACAGCTGAATGATAAAAAGGAAAGAGAAATGCATAGACATTTGGGAAACAATACAATAAGATACAGGTATGTAGGCCAAGAAAGTGTAGTCTTTATTTTAATCTCAATCTCCTCTTGATTAGAATTAGTCTGACATCTTTTTCACAACTTAGTAGTGGCTTAGGAAGGTTTCGATGAACGTACCACGTATTATTTCCTCTGCCCTAGGTGTCATGGTTTCTACCAGTCTTGGATTGTCGGGCCGGCAATTTAAATACAATGGAAATGGAAAACTAAAGAGGAATATGATTACGCCTCACTAAGCCCGCCTAAAAAGGCGTGTTTCCGTCTAAGTCATAGTAAACAGGTCAACGTTCCGATTCTGGAAATCATGAATACTATAACAGACAAGGTACGTCCCACAAGGTAAATCTACTAAGACATCTCGAAACCCTACTCTAATACGAATAAAAAATACTAACCATTCAGCAGAAATTTGGCAAGACGATAGATTATACTTGTTTCTAACGCCGTGATTCCGGAGAGCCGCGAAATATTGTAAAAGCTTCAATTTGAGAAAATGTAGAGTGATTTGCAGGCTCATCCATCACATTAATTATTAAATACTAATTTAATGTTAATAAATTAAATAATAATTGAGATACACGAGTTTTATTTATCTTTATCTCTTGCTTACAAATAGTCATATTTAGGGTAGGGCGCTATGGAAAAAATTCAATTGAAAAAGAGAGCCGAGACTAGGAAAAGTGTTGGAACCACCGTTATAATGGGTTTTAGATCAATGCTAAGGGTAAAAAAGCTATAGGACGATGCCGGGAAGACGTATTGGAACGTGCTCAGACGGTTTTATGCTGGAAGAAATCATGGTAACTACGGGAGACACAGTAGTAGATGTGCTCTTAAAAATGCACTTGAAATCCCTATGAAGCCACGAAAACGAGGTCAGACAAATGCTAATACGGTATAAGGATATGTTTTGCCGAATTTAATCAGCCAACTAAAGTCCTGCACCGTATGATCTCAAAATTTTAAGCAAAGTATATGAGCATTTCGAATGTATACGGATAATTTCAGTAAATATGGTGAACCTGACAAAAGCATTATGTTTATACGAGCTCGAGAAGCAAGTTGGCGAATAAACGAAAATGTACAAATGAAAGATACCCATGTTTAATGAATATATGAAGACCAAGATGTTGTGGCCTCGGTTATGGTCGCAATCTTCTTTCGATTTATAGTAGTAGGTCGACCTCGTTGTTGCAACTTGGTCTTGTTGTCAGAGCGACTATGTAGAACGCACCTATCACAACTTCTCGCTCGTTTACATTCCACTCGTCAAAATGTGTGCCCTTTTGTGACAAATCTAATGTGGCCCCATCACACTTGCTATTTACCCCGAACCCTCTCTTTCGATCGGCTAATCCGACTCGGGCCTCCAATCCGGACCCGCTCATTGTCTCGTAGATCCGTTTCTTATCTTTCTGGTTGACCGATTTAATTAGGTTTCAGTCACAGTGTGCATTTTACTCTAGGTGGTAATTCTCAAGGATCTAGAAGTACGTACACTACCACCTCACTGAGCAGAGCACCTAAGCTCTGATTTCCATGTTTTCAGTTATAAGGCTTTCCCTTCCCTGTCCTCTCTTTGATTAAACCCATGTTATCTGAGCAAACTGTGGACGCCTATCTCTGGTCGCATGCGGTATCTCAAGTTGATTTCTAGTACATTTGGGCAATAACACCAAATTTCCGTGACGGTTTGCTGATCCGTCTGCCCAGCCCCCTGACTACCAGGTCCCCAAAGTTGTATCGGTTTATTCGAAATGGACATAACTCACTGACAACGTCTTCGTTTGATTTCCGAAGACCCCTTCCCCCCACTTTCTACATCGCGATCTCTTTTCCTCCGGTTAGCGATAGCTCCTTAATCCAGGCGTCTCCTTTTTGCTGGTCTTGCCTTATTCTTGTTTTCCCCGAATTTGCTTGGGCAGTAGGCAAAGTTATCGCTAACTCTACTTTCCTCCAATCTCCTGTTTATTAGATTTTTATCTCCAAGGGTGTCAATGGCCTCCCTAATCTTGAACAGGGTCTTGCGTATCCTGGCAAATCTGTTCATGTACATGAGATCCATTGGAAGGCAACAGAAAGAAGAGCCTCATATGGTAAAAAGCGGAAGATCAGGGAGGCTTTTGATATACTTGAGGAAAAATCTAATGAACAGAAGATTGGAGGAAGGTAGAGTTAGCGATAGCTTTGCCTACTGCTTAAGCAAACTCAGGGGAAATAAGAATACAAGACCAGCGTGGATTAAGTGTCTATCGCTAACCGAAGGAAAAAGGATTGCGACGAGAAAAGGTTGGGCGAAGCTTTTCGGGAATCAAGCGAAGATGTTATCAGTGAGTGATGTCTGTTTGAATAAATCAGTACAACTATGAGAGTATGGCAGTCAGGGAACTAGGCAGACGGATAAGTTCAACCTTCACAGAAATTTGGCATTGTAGCCCAAATGTACTAGAACTCCACATGGGATACCCCAGGTTACGAGAAATAGGCGTACACAGCTTGCTCAGGTAACATGAGTTTAATCAAGGAGATGACACGTGAAGGCAATGCCTGATTATTTCGCACTTTAGTCACATGGAAGAGTTTAAGAAGTTTGTAAACCAGATTGATGAAAAAATTCAATTCAAGCTGAAAGTAGAGGAAGGTGAGCGGTTACCGTTCCTAGACGTTGAAATGATTCGCTCTAATGGGTTGCTCAAAATAATTGTTCAGAAAGAAGTCCTGTTCAGAGATAATACTCAATTTCCGGTCTCATCACAATTACAGGCTAAAGATTGGAATAATGAGGAGCATGATTATCCGAAGCCTACGCTTAACGGATGTAGAATTCTGGGACAAGGAGCTGGACAAATTAACGAGTATATTCCTCGGCAATGGCTACCCTAGCGAAGTGATACAAAGGAACATACGGGCCGTGAAAAGCCGATGGCAGAACGGGGACTAAGAAAAAACAGTAATGACGATGAAGGATTCGCAAAAGTGAATATGCCTACCTTCCTGCGAACTAACTCCAAACTACAGCCAATATTGAGTAAATGGAATATTCAGATTGCCATGAAAGAGAAATCAACACTTTTCACAAGTCTACTGACGTAACATTAAAGGGTAGATAAATTGGATTGTTCAAGAGGTTATTGTATATTGTGCGGCGCCTGCGAACATAAATATATTGGCGAAACAAGGAGAAAAATTAGCACACGAGTCAAGGAACATCAGAGGCTCTGCAGGAAAATGGATACCGAAATATCAGAACTACCGGAACACATCGCACAGACTGGACACGAGATCAATTGGAAGGTAACGGAAAGAATGGCCATATACGGTGACAACACAAAGAAGAGAAAGATAAGGGAGGCCTTGAGAAGAAAAATTTAATGAACAGGAGATTGGAGGAAGGTAGAGTTAGCGATAACTTTGCCTACTGTCTAAGCAAACTCGGGGAAAAAGGAGACGCCTGGATTAAGGGGCTATCGCTAACTGGAGGAAAAGGGATCGCGATGTAGAAAAAGGGGGGAATGGGTCTTCGGCAATCAATCGAAGACGTTGTCAGTGGGTGATGTCCATTTCGAATAAACCAATACAACTTTGGGGGCCTGGCAGTCAGGGGGCTGGGCAGACGGATAAGCTAATCGTCACGGAAATTCGGCGTTATGGCCAAAATGTACTAGAAATCCACTTGAGATGCCGCATGCGACCAGAGATAGGCGTCCACAGTTTGCTCAGATAACATGGGTTTAATCAACGAGACGATCCATGAAGGGAAGGCCTGCTTTCTGCAAACATGGGAATCAGAGCTTAGGCGCTCTGCTCAGCGAGGCAGTCGTGTACGTGCTTCGAGGAATTGACTTCACTTGTCTCTTTGACGAGTTCGTAGCTTGGTGCGGAGAATGGAAAAACTCACTGATGATGCTAAGATGCCGGCGAAACGTTTGAGAATGTACCAAGTCCACTGTCTGATGCTGGGAATCATGACAACTACCGAAAGATTGCAGACGACTTCAGACTAGGCGCGTTCTACTAAGCCGCCTTGACAACAGGACCAAGTTGCGACAACGAGGTCAACCCACTGCAATAGATATTAAATTTCCAATTGATCAATTGTCAGCTCAACGGTTCTATCCTATCAAATCTTCTTACTTGCTTATTTAAACCCGATTTAGGTATAACTTTTTGAGCGGAGTGAGTGAGACATATTCAAACTCCCTGATACTTCCCTCATTCCCCTCCCCTGGGCTGTGAGTGTTGACCTTAGACTGTCGCTTAGTCTACAATGTTCTTCCTCCAGGTCATAGCAAAGTCTTCCTTTTGATCCTCTTGATCCGCCTCTTATCATCCTGATTCAGTGATTTCATTCAATCACTGTCACCATATGAGTGCTTCACGAGGCGTTATGTTCTACACCTTTGATGACACGTATACACTATCCTAATTGAGCCAGCTCCGAAAGTCTGGAATTCTCAGGCTGGATGAAAAATTTGATTCTGCAAACTCTCTGTTTGGCATGTGCACTGGGTAATTTTCGTGATCAAGCCTTTACTTTACGGACCACGTCTATAGGCAAACGTATTCATCAATATCGTTGGGGTACTTTCATTTCGTATGAAAGTGCATGAAGAAGAGATTCGTAGGTCGATCCCACCAGATG